CAACGTTGCACATTTGTCAGTTCCGTGGGGCTTGTGCCGGGGGAATCGCCTCCCGATCGCAGCCGTCGGCAGACGCTGAAGAGGATGTGCGAGGTTCTATGGCGTCCGGTGCTGTCTTCCCTGAGTCACGTCATGATGCACTGCTCGGACCCCATCGTTGTGTCGACCGCGGTTGACGGGTACAAGGCCTTCGCCGTAGCCGCGGGGATCCTGGGTAAGATGTAAGGAGGAGGCGTTTTTGATAGGCTGCCTCCGTATCTTGTGTATCTTGTGGGCGTCCTGGGTAAGATGGGAAGGACGAAGCGTCTTATGTAGATGGGCTACTTCCATGCCATTGCGTTGTTTGGTCTTGTGGGCATCCTGGGTTAGATGGAAGGAGGCGTTGTTTGATATTTGCTGCTCCCTTGCCATGGCGTTGTTTGTCTTGTGTGGGCGTGACGAGTTAATGAGACGAACACTTCCTGCCATCGTGTTCTGGGCGTGACGAGGTAGATTCTGAAGGAGCATGATACCTGTGTGCTGTTGTTGGCTGTGTTGGGAATCAATTTACCCTTCCTTTTTTTGTAGCGCTGTTTTGTGTGTGTAGCGAGCAACAGCTCGGACCAGAAGCTTTTGAGCATTCGGGGCTCATAGTCTGGAAAAACTCCTAACATTTCGCGCTACGGCCCTACCCGCACCCCCTCATCGCAACATGAGCCAACAGACACCCTTTCTTGAAAGCTTTGCGCGTCACCGCGACACTGAATCAGTTGTTGGTCCGCCGTCCGCCCGCTCCCCCTGATTCCACAAGTTTTATTTTTTCTGCTGTGAACGCCTTCCACATAGTCTCAGTCACTGGCAAGCCCGCCCACCAGATTCTAACAGATTTTTTATTTCTTCTGTTAACGATCTCCTTGTCTTTCTCTCCTATCTCTCTGTCTCTGCCTGTCCGTCTGTCTGCCTCTCTCTCTCTCTCTCTCTCTCTCTCTCTCTCTCNTGCAGAGCGTATAAGCTCTCTTTATCTACTCTCTCTCTCTCTCTCTCTCTCTCTCTCTCTCTCTCTCTCTCTCTCAGGTGTTGAAAACGCCTTGGAGGGGTTCGTGGGCAGCTTGTGCCGGTTCAGCCTTCCCCAGTGGCACGGCACCGACGTCGTTGTCGGCGGGGGCGCTAGTAGCGGGGGGGCGGGAGCGGGGGTGCACGGCGGGGGTTCGCCAGCCCTCGGCTGGAATCATGTCGGTGAGTCGATGAGTCGATGAGTCGATTACATTCGTGCACCAGGGGGTTCCGTGCGTTTTATTGGGGGGGCGGAGGTGAGGGGGCGCGTGCTGGGGTTCAGGAAGGCCGGGGTCACGGAACTTTTGCGTGAGTATCAGGCTGGACCCGGATGGGATTCGAAACCGAAAATAGACCGCAAACCCATGTTCAAGACTTCGTCAAACGCGATTCATCTTTTTCAAGGCCCCTTTGGCGTACAGGTAGGTTTGCCCCCGGCGATGGGTTTTGTACTGAGGGGTGTTTCCACGGTGCTTTGTTCGACTGCTGCTTGAGTGATGAATAAAGAACATGAGTGTACAGAAAGACTTGGACCACATCCCTTGCAACGGGCTATCATCTCGAACGGGTAGGGTAGCCCGTCCTCTGTTGTTGTGTACAGTACCATGTTATATTTTCCTGAAGACAATGGAAAATGGATTGCTCCCATCGTTGTTCGGCTCCGGCTTACTACCGAGAGCGTTCGCAGGGCCTTGCTGTACCACTCGTGTACGGTGGGACAGCAGTTACAGAGAACGCCGCGTTGGTGTGGAAGCACCTCCTTGTTGATCACCCCGGGGCCCAGAATGCACCAGAATTTTCGAGATTTCAGGCGTAGTACAAGCTGTTGTCGTGGAGTCAAGGAACAGTTCGGGACTTGCGTGTCTATCCAGTCCATTCCGTTCACGTTCCCTTCGCGTGTTTCGAGGCAGGACGCGAGCCACCCCCCGTGCGCACAAGCTACTGCTGTAACCAAGAAACAACCAAGAAATGAGTTGTGCGAAAACCAAGTGGAAAGACCCAGACAAAATATCGCATCGCTCGCCAAAATTGGGACGGAAATTCCGAAAAAAAAAATTCCAGGAAATATAATGTGTTCCCCGGACGGGAATCCTCGACTGCGGTGGGACAAAATGGCGCAGTTCCATACGGGTTTGGGACAGCAGAAAAGGAGAAAAAAAACGGACGAAAATAGCAAAAAAACGAAAACAAAAGAGAGCCAGTCGGTCGGGCCATCTCGGACGCTGAGTCAAAGGCAATAATTGTTCGTTTATTAGGCCCTTGTTTATGGTTTCCAAATGTTTATCTTCCTTTCTTTCGACAAATGTTGACTTTTTCGACCTTTTGGGCAGTCTGCCTCCCGAACGAGTGCGAATCAGCTGTTCGACCTTTGAGAACAGTCACAGCTTTGGCTGAGATGTCTACAGATCGCCTACATGTTTCGCCAGGGTTCACGTTTGATTTTTTTCCAGCAGAGCAAGATGTTGACGATTCGGCCGAAAGGCCACCTCGGAGCAAATCTTGGGCCAAGATCTGTCCAACAGCTGGTGTTGGAAAAATCTTGCGTGAAAATTGCGCACCTTGAAAAAATCAAACGTGGACCCTGGCGAAACATGTTGGCGATCTGTAGACATCTCAGCCAAAGCTGTGACTGCTCTCAGAGGTCGAACAGCTGATTCGCCCTCGTTCGGGAGGCAGACTGCCCAAAAGGTCGAAAAAGTAAACATTTGTCGAAAGAAAGGAAGATAAACATTTGGAAACCATAAACAAGGGCCTAATAAACGAACAATTATTGCCTTTGACTCAGCGTCCGAGATGGCCCGACCGACTGGCTCTCTTTTGTTTTCGTTTTTTTGCTATTTTCGTCCGTTTTTTTTCTCCTTTTCTGCTGTCCCAAACCCGTATGGAACTGCGCCATTTTGTCCCACCGCAGTCGAGGATTCCCGTCCGGGGAACACATTATATTTCCTGGAATTTTTTTTTTCGGANCAATCGAAAAAACTTCAACGAAAAGGTCCCATTTGAAAAAAGTTTCAACATCCGTAGTATGTAAAAAAAAATCATGGCACGCCAGGTTTCGATCCTGGGTCCTCGAGGTTATGAGCCTCGCACGCTACCTCTGCGCCACGTGCCACTGTTGATGTGCAGGGAATGCATCGTGTCCTACAGTAGGACCGCACCAATCGATCGTTGTTTATCGGTGGACGGCAGGAGCAAATTTCATAAAAAACGGGGGCATGTTTTCGTACGCTTGCTCATACTTGGGATATGACAGTACCATGGGAGTATTCTGCGGTCCCCCCCCCCCCCCCCCCCCNGTAATTTGGTGATTCCTTCCTCCCTCTCCTCATCCTTCCTCTATTTTAGTCGAACAGAACCACCTGAGAAGAGGTGTACCGCTACAGACCGCGAACCCCCCCCCACACACACACTGAACGGGTCTTTGCTGCAGTCTACACGGACAACTCGACGCCCCCGTTCTCTCCCTCCCATTTGCTTCATGTATTCTACGTTGTAGATGGTATTGTCCTTTTCTCTTTCGTGTTTCATATTTTCTTCCCCACCTTCTATGTGATTCTCCTCAGTAGTGCTGGTTTGTTCGGAACTAAGCTGCCGCCATCTTCCCCTCCAAGCGCGCGACCTGCCCTGCACCACCGCCGAGTCAATCATCCGGGAGCGACAATTGCTCCTCCCCCACTTCAGGCGGACGCAAACATCCAAGCTCGAGTCGCGGCCAGCCAGAAAAGATGAAAGGCGGAAGGCGACCGCGGCGAAGGCGTGCGAAATATCCGCTGGGGGGGGGAGAAACAATGGCTTGGGCAATGGGTTAAGCGCTGGAGCTTGATGCGCGCAAATGTGGGGTTTCGAGTGTTAACTGTTTTTGTATCCGATACGCTTGGAGGGGAAGATGGCGGCAGGTTAGTTCCGAACAAACAAGCACTACTGAGGAGAACCACATACTAATACTACCAACATTCCCCCCGGTTCTGCACAGTGGTGACTGCAGCAGAAAAACCAACAAATGAAACACACTTTCAAGTCGTCGGACCCTACATGTGGAATGGTTTGTCTGAAATTACCGATCACTGCGACATCACCACTCAATAGTCTAAATAGCTGAATATCATCCTGAAACGGAGGTTGATCAGTCCTCGATCATAAAATAATAAATACAGCCGCTGCTCCTGTTCTAACTATAGGGTAATCAATCCTGAGTCAAAACCTTAACAAGTCGGAACCGCAATCTCACAACAAATACCAACCTCAACACAGCGTATGACAATATTCGTGTTCGGAAATCAGCATTTATTTCGTCAATATTGTGGATTTTTTATCTGCAACACGGTGGAGGTACAAGTACCAATGTTGCACTTCGTTGAGACTTGAAACGTCTCCGGCACTCGCTGACACAACCTAGACACGAAAAGTTATTGAACAGGTTAAGCCTGCTACCCAAAGAGAGTCCAGATAAAACGCTGATCACGCATTTTCGATCAGGCTAAACCTGCTGCTCAAAAAGCAGCTACCAATAAGAGCCCAGATAAAACGTTGATCACGCTGTTGCCGGGGAGAGCAAGTTGGTCTCAGCACGTCTGTCCGGAAGACAAAGCACAAAACCTCGCCAATCACTGGATTACATTACGCACGATACTATTTCTAATACCATGCTACACACACATCGTATCATCAGTTTCGAAACTGGCATCAGTTTTTTGAGGATTACTGGCAACCTAGGTCGGGTCTACCCATTTGCTACAGGTAGTCGGCCTTTGACCGAGCGGTGGAGTTTGACGGCAGTACCGCACGACGTACGGTCGCGTTTTGATTGAGTAAGAAGAGTTCGGGTTTGTCGGCACTACCGCGCGGCGTATTGCCGCGATTATACTAGAAAAACAGTAGGAGAGAGACTCTAGAGGTGTTTGACGGCAGTGCCGGTGGAGGTGGAGGTCGAATTAGTGTTGGCGTTTGACGGCATACCGCACGGCGTAAAATCTGACGGCACTGTGTAGGCCTACCGCATCACCGCATGGGTGTACACATTACCACAGCAGTCCAAAACTGACAAGTCATCACGTGCCTGTTCATGCCTACAGCCCCAGTAGACGGCGGGGCGCACCCCCCCCCCCCCCCCCCCCCCCCCCCCCCCCCCCCCCCCCCCCCCCCCCCCCCCCCCCCCCCCCCCCCCCNTGCCATCGGGATTGGGTTTCGTCGCTTGGCAACGACATTGTACAACACGCCAATTCGCTTCGTGAGCTCGGCAACCAGGTTACCGTTTTTCTTTTTTACCAATTTTTTTTTTGGCGGTAACCATGATGGTGGCCGAGTAGATCATGTTGTGCGGGGTGGAGAACCCTCACTCCGCGCAAGGGGGATGATCGCACCACGTTGTGTTAAAATGGTCAAGCACCCTCGAGGCAGTTACACAGTGCTTACAACTGTCTCTGGAAGTGAAAGCACCATAAAATACATTAATTCATACGCAGCTGTCATCCGCACGCAAGGAAGTAAGCACAAGATGCCGACCACCTTTAGCAGGATGCAGCGCACCTGCGACTGGCCGAATATCTCACGGCGCTTCGCGCTTGCTGATGTGAGAGCCTGGTCCGGTGA